ATAAATTTTGATAAAAATAAATAAAATCTATGGTTGAAAATAGACATGGGCATCAGGTGGGTCGGTCCACGTACTTCAATACCCGAAACCGGCGATTATACTTTGAGTATTTCGTAAATGAAACCATTCGGATTCTTATAATTACTAGAACCAAACTCAAACCCGAGCCGTTGGTTTCTGTTCGAATTTGACTATACCCATAACATTTTTTATATACATTTTCATATAGGTCTTTTTCAATATATATTTAAAACGCTACTGCTCAACAATATTTGTGCAAGGGAGAAAATCGAGCTAATAAATCTTCAATAAGCAAAATAATGGATATTAAAAAATCTCGAAAAAATCTCGAAAAATAAAACATCAAATGATAAATTAAGCCCTCGTTTGACACCCATTTTTTTCACATTCACATTCACATTCACATTCTTTTTCTCTTTGTTCATTTTAACCACATATTTTATTAATAAAATAATATTACACATAAACCCAAAAATTCTCCTTACTTTTTAACCACATAATCTTCCATCAATCACTATTCCAAAAATTATTTTCAAACAAAATGGGTGTCAAACAGGGGCAATATTTCTTTNCATTCTCATTCTTTTTCTCTTTCTTCATTTCAACCACACATTCTATCAATAAAATAATATTACACATAAACCTAAAAATTCTCCTTACTTTTTAACCACACATTCTTCCATCAATCACTATTCAAAAACACATTTTTCTATTAAAATGGGTGTCAAACACCCTCTAAAGTTTGAGAAGAAATTATTTTTTTTTAATAAATCTTATTCGATTCACAAGTGCGACATGCTAGAGTCTATAATTTAATTATGAATAATGCTTAAATTTTTCAACTCTTAAAATAAACTACCATAAAAAATACTAATTAGATATATAATAACTACATAGTATCAAGAAATTGCAATCCTAATACTGAACTCGCTCTGTTTGAATAAAAAAAAAATTATATGTCAAAAAAACCACGAACTCAAGATGACAAAAAAGGTATAACATTGCCCTAACTATAAATATATCAAATTCAATTGTCAAGCTTTATAAAAAACTTAAAAAATCACTTAAATTTGTTAACAATGCAAAAAAGTAAAAAGTTTGAATTGCAAAGATTGAACATTTTAATTCATTAACTTACACCACAATCTAGTTTAAACTTTTTTGATTCCTAGAAAGCCCAAATTGCAAAGGTTAACACGTACTAACATCACAAATGTAACAATTTAATGTGAGAGAAAAAAAAAAGTGGCTTGGTGAACTTTGCTAAAGCTAAAACAATTATGCACATGGATACACTATCTTATTATTCATCTTTTATATTTTCTCCTCTCCTTCGAAGAGTCCAGACGAGTTCAAGATTGACACGTTCTCATAATCAATAGAGAACTAAATAATATAAAAATAAGTGGACAATGCAAAAAAACAAATTAAAGACATTCGTAGGACGTATCATAATATTTATTCATTATGATAGAAAATAGAGAGAGAGTATATTATACATAGTATGAAATTATGTCTATAATTGAAGCCCAATGCTTTGAAAAGATTAAAACCTAATAATGAATGAAGGAGTTACCGCCAAACTGTGATAATTGAAACTGGTAACAAAAGGAAAAATTACTAACATGCTAACATTAAAATGCACATTAGAGAAAAGAAAACATAACCATTGTTAGCACCGGTTACTCTAGGACCACAACGAAAGCTAGGCATAAGAGTGGATAAGATAGGATTTATACTAATGTATGAGATTAGATTTTAGTCTATATTAACGCTTATAAAGTCTCCCGTTGGACAACATAACCATGACGAAAAATGCTCATGGGTGATCAAACCGATCATGACTAGGCATCAAACTTTTTAGGTCAACAAACTTCATGTTCTTAACAATATTTGATTCAATTGAATCAATATTTGTATAAGATATCATATAGGGGATTGTATGGAACTTTTTTCTATTTGCTTTATTGCACGACATGTAAGTGATCAATGTCAATA